TCACTGGTATCCAAATGTTGTCATAATGCTTCCTTGTACCTGAAAAAAGGGACAGCTACTTTTAGTACCCAAGACATCTTCAGGCTTTTTTACCCTTAGAAACACATTTTAAAATTCTGATCTTATTTGACAAAGACCATGGAGCAAGTCTTCACTAAAATAAAACTCACCTACTTCCCAATCTTATCATTTATCCAGAGAAGAATTTTACCTGAGACTAGCTCAAGCTGGAAGTTAGTCAAAAAGAAAAACTTCTGAAATAATTTGAAAATCTGTGAACTTAGGCCCATTCATCCCTCTTTGTCAAAAAAGCCATGGTCATCATGATTTTGTATTTCTAAAATTACATGCATCACCAGTGAGAGAAAAAAGAAACTTCATATTCTTTGACTTTATAAATGAGACTGTAAAGTTATTAAAATTATTTTGCATATTTTAATAGCATCTAGAGACAGCAACTGCTATAAAAAGTCTAAAACCATATGCTAAGATATGAACTGGTATAATTTTAATTCTGTAGAACAAATCAAGGACAATATCTAACCATCATGTTTAATTTTTATCCAATCTCACAGACAATACTGGATCAGCAAATATAATCCCATACATTGTGTTAGCATCATTCTGAACTAAGATTTGCTGGCAAAAGATGGTTCCAGACCTGCTGACAGTGCACACTCCTGAATACAGACCAGGCCTCATACATATGTTCTGAGTGCAAGGTGCTTTTCTCTAATAAATGCAGCACAGATACAGATGTGCTGTAGAATCAAAATCAACATTTCCCAGTAATTTTCAATTTTTTTTTTAAAATATGTTCCATATACATCAATGTAGTGAAAGAGGATGAGTCACTTTCAATGACTAAGAATTTGCAAACTCCCGGAGCATTAAATTCCTTTGATCTTTATAAGCTGGCTCGTTCTCATTCTGTTCATTAGCCCCCCTCTTTTTCCCAGTTTTGAGCCAGCCAATCTGTAGCCCTTTCTGCAAGCTGACATATTTACCAAGTAAAATCTGTTACCACTGCTTTCCTGCTCTTACTGAAAAACACCCTGTTGCTTGTCAAGCTCCTCATCTTGGGGAACCTCCTTCTCTCTTTTCCTTCACACATGACATAGTCCACAAGCTCTCTCCTCACCCCGATGAGCTCTTTATTAGCTCCTCTCTGTATTTCCCCAGTAACCACAAATTGTTCACCTGTGCATTCTGTTAATCTCTTTTTTTTTTTTTCACTCCCATCTAATGTAATTTCATCATTAGTTCCTAAGTACCATTTTGCTGATGACTCACAAAAATTGCCTAAGAATCTCAGAAAATAATCCAGTTGTGTTGCTTTGAACCATGTCTTGATAAGTACCTTTCTTTAAGGGTTAACCTAGGAATGTCAATACCTACATGATTTGAAAAATAAGAATGTCTTAAATTGTAAGCATAAATTATCGTTAATTTTCCAGATAATTATTTGGCAGCTGTAACAGGGCTATTTTCTCATCTATTCTGTTTGAAAAATGAGTGTATGTGGAGCTTGCCACAAACAGGTACCCACATTTAGACAGCAATTCAATTTCAATACTGATTAGTGAAAAGCATCTTGATATTTTCACTCTACTCCTTTGATGGAAAAATACTTCACAGCTCCAAAAAATCCTTTAGTGCTTGATTCTTTACCAATCAAAAAATCACAGTTGTCATAGAAACTGTAAAAACTGAAGTCAGTCATGACATAACAGAGCAATGGAAAATGTCTGCAGGCTCAGGTTTTTGTGCTAGAAATATTTCTATGAATTTAACCAGGAAGTCAACAAGTTTCCCAAATCTAACAAAGAATATTATAACAATAGGTATTATTATTGTTTTTAATAATCTGTTCAGAGTCTGGAAAGTAATAGCATTTATCACTCCTGCTCTACACACTGGCTACATTAACAGCAAACAGACTCTTCTCAAAATCCTCAGTGTACGCTTATCCTGTAAGGTGATTGAATTTCTCTGATCACACATCTTAGATAGCCTGGAGGGGCTTTTGATCAATGTTCTCAGCATTCCGGAGATCTCATTTTTGGTATTTTTAAGCTGACACAAACCACTTTAATAACCTATGTTGCCATTAGTTTCTGCCTCTTAAAAATGCTGTTCAGAAAGACTTCTATCTGCAGGCCTCTGACCCACACATAGGGCTTTTTCCCTATGATATGAAACTCTGTAAAATATAATTCTACTCCTGACTAAGACAGGCTACAAGAGTCTTCCCCTCTCCATAACCAAGAGCTAAATCATAGACCAATTTCAATTCCAGGGTTCTTCCTGTCTTTTATTGGAACCACTTGACACTTCATAATGACTCAGTGACAGGGCTGCCTTACTGCAAATACTTGCCCTTCAAGCAGAGATTACCTTGCTGAAAAGAAAATAGTCATAATGCACAGGAATATTACTGGACTGGCTTCACTGTAGGTGAACTACAAGCAACATGAAAAGCAGCGATGTGGAAGTACTCAGATCATAAAATAACCATCGCAGAAGCCTTGAATTAAGTTGTATGGAGAAATTTAAGGGAGTTCTTTTTTTTTTCAGCTGGTTTCTTCTGACATATTGTCCCTCTGAACCTTTAATTTATTCTTTCAAGATAACTAGGTACACATATAGAGAGCAAACAGGTACTTGGATTCCCTATGCTTTCCTAAAATTTCCTTAAATAAACTCTGTTTTCTCATGATACCATCTAGGAGTTTCCAGACCTGCTAAACAACTTCAGATGCTCACACCACGCCCCCATTCCCACCGTGCTTAAGGATTACATTTAATGGTAGGGTGAGCATACTTGGTGTGTAACATGCTTCAGCAGCCTACTGAAGTTTAACTTACATATACACAGAGAAACTTTCCAGCTGCACCTAAGATAAAGTCTGAGACAGCAAAATTTGCCTGTTAACTTCCCTAACAGTGAGTTAGGAATTAAAACCAAAGTGAAATCCTGATTCCAGTAAAATAACCAGCAAACAACCCATGAGTGAAATAATAAACTTTTTTACAAGGAACAAAGAAAAAAAAAAGCACAATTCAAATCTCCTTAAAAAGAACAGCATGACTTATTTGTTTACTGCATTATACTGCAGGATTCATAGTAGAAGAGTACCCGATTCACACAATAAATTATATTATTTCTAAGTAAATAAATATATTTATTCTGTTACCATAGTTGGGACCCCAGTCAAAAATATGTATAAAACCCTGTAGCTTCTCACTCTTCAGTTCTATGGCATTCTGTCATAGACTTAACATTTAAATTATCACTCAAGACTTCTGTATGCTATTAGCACAATTAGTGCACATGTGCATACATATGTACACAAGCACATGTACATATGTGTCACTTGAAAAGCACATGCACATATATAATTATGCTTTTCTCACACTATAAACATATGCACACGTACACATGCATGCAGACTTCTATCTTTAATTCTGAAAAAAGCACATTCATTTTCATGGCTGCCACTGAGGAAAAGAAAATCAAGATAAGGCTGCTTCAGTCATTTAATTGATTTGGATATACACAACATTTATTTTTGTATAGGACAGGCTACCACAGGAAAATAAATAAAAATATAATTGTATAATATTGAGTATTAGTTATTAAGAACAGTCTTAATCTACATGCAGCTTATAAAATACTGTTATAACATTTTACTATCACAAAGACTTACTCTCTACTGACATGGTTTACTGGAACTCATGACATAATAGAGGCTTTTTTAGATTGCTTTTGTGTGTCTCAGCAGTCCCTTAGAGAAGAAATTAATCTGCACACGTATTGATAAATAAGAACAGGAAGAATTTATATTAATATTTTTAGATGTTTTTGAACAGCAGAATGGCTTTGGGCACACAGTATAAGACCAGACTTCATGGAGTATGTGTACCAAATAAACACATTATTTCATGAGGTGGGCTGAGGGGGTAAGAATTTTACACGGAACTCATATGAGGCTAGAGCAAATATCTTACATATTCTGAAAGCCTCCTGTTTTGTATATGGTATACAGTAGTGAGAAGACACTTGTCTGAAATAGCAAGGTGTATTTTCTTGTTTTGCTCCATAATCAAACATTATGCAACCAAATCCTACAGCTTTCTCACAGAAAAAAAAAATCTTTATTTGCAAATATTCTTACTGGTTTCCATTTTACATCTAAGAGATTTCTGATTGTCAATAATTTGGCATTTGAGTTTTACAGAAGCTGATGACTAATAGAAAATAACCACAACAGTAGACAGGAATCTGAAAACCACTACTATCAGAATCTGGTTGTAAAGGTATGTGTTCTAATAGAACATGAGAAATTCCAGAGTCTCTGAGAAATCTTAAGTAAGAAGCAATGTGTTACAGCGCTCTTCCCAATAAACCCATTCTTCCTATATAAAACTGTACTGTAACTATATTATAAATACTCTCTCAGGCAGAATTACAGTTTTGTTCCTCTGTTTACCCCTGTAATGAGTGAAAGAAAATGACTGACAGCTGTATGGCTGCATTGGCTTAAGTGAAAGGATGACTGATCAGATTCTATCACAGACCGTGTGCACCACTCCCAACTCTGAACACACAATGCCAAGCAGAGGCACTGACTTCCAAATTAGTTACTGCCAATATTCCCCCTTCTCCCAAATCATCATTCAAAATGGAAGACATTCTCCTATATACTTAAAACATGTCATACTAACTAGATGTGAATAATAGAGCACAAACATGGACTTTCCTCTGAAACTCACTCTGACATAAAAATTTTCACAGAAACAATTACCAGAGGAAATAGTTTTTTTTTTTTCAAAAATAAGTACTTCCTCACAGTGCCAGCATTTAAATGTAATAAAACAGATAAAATACCTCAAACAAAAAGCAGAAAGCTTTCACTGTATTTCTGACAAGTAAAATGAACCTTTCTCACCTTGTATAAGACACAGTACCATGCTTTACACACCCCTTTAGTACTTACGAGTAAAATTATTAGAAGCAGATGGATGGACATTACTTCCACTGTCAGCACTTTCACTGCTAGAAACATCATCATCTGATTCCCACACACATGAACAAGGTGAGGTTCCACCAACTTCTTCAAACTTCCTCTTTAAAATTCCACTCATTGCTGCGATGCTGTCACCATGCACCTGTAACAGGAACAGAGGCAATGAGGCACTGAAACACATGCCTACTGTGCAGGTCTGCCAATACATTTATCATTAAAGACTTCACCTATCAGTCAGATACTACCACCTGCAGCTAAATGGCTCCTTAACTAAGAGTTTTAAACAAATTTTCCAAGAAGGAATCAAAAAACCCACAACCCATCATCAGTATATTTATTATCTCACTGACTTTAAGACAGAAGGTAAATGTTACCGGTATTCTATCAATGCAGACAATTCCATAGCCAATCTCATACATAAATATATATATATATTCAGCCATACAGCAAATTTAGGTCAAGCATAATACTCCAGTGTAATTCATCAAAAATGGACCTTTGTATAACAATTAAAAAGTTACTTGTCACCAAGAAACATTACATTATATTTTATTACAAAAATGGTTTTGCAATAAATATAGTTTAGAAAAAAACCTCATTCTTTCTTTTGATTTATTTTAAAGGTCTGATTTATGTAATTCCCTGTACTAACAAATGCCTGCAATTGCAATTACATTTGAGAGCTGTATGAGACCCTTCTCATCTTTCCAGGCCAGGCCCTGCGTAAACAGTTCTGGCTCATTTTGTCATTTTCATTTATTCAGAAGTCTCTTGCCTAAAATTTTCGAAATTCAGATGAGTATTGGCACAAAAGTAGATTATTTCCATTCACATGAGCATCAAAGGACTGGGTCCATCCTTAAGAACCTGACTTTCTAATCACATTGCCCGACGAAGCCAGAGTCATGTTGAACATTCCTTATTGCTTCTCTTTCCTATATAACAGCTGATCTTTGTATCTCCATTTATGGAATATCAAGCAGAAAAAGATTGAAATATTTTTAAAGCAATTTTAAGATATTTTTAACATATCTGATCGGTAGAAACAATTTTTTCTCTGTCTTTAATTAAAAAATTGGTTACTATCACACTCATTACTGATTAATTCCTACTGCAGACTGAAAATTAATTCTAAGATCTCAAGTTAAAAGTTACAGATAATATCTACTCTGACTATGCTAATCAGTGAAATGCTGCTGTAAATAGCTGGGGAAAAAAGGCTGATGTTTGATGCTTTTAAGCTTTTAGTATCAAAAATTCTCATCTGATGCCACTTGCCTTCAGCTTGTTAAGCTGCCAATTCAATTCATTTTATAACATAGTTATTTCTTCCAGTAAGCTTCACTCCACCTTTATGGATGTGTCTAATTTAGAGAAAAGATTTCAGTATAGATGTGGAATCCTGACACAATGCTAAGAACAGATGCTGCACAAGATGATCTTCAGCACCAAACTTGTTTGCATGCAGAGCACACCAAAAATTAAATAACAAATATATTAGGGCTTCATACAGTCAGTCACACAGACGGATTTAAATACATATGCTCACCATGATGTTCTCAGCTTGTTGTACTATTTATGAAAAAAAAATGTTTTCCTGAAACAGATTTCTTCAGGCTAAATGTATGACTCAAACAGAAGTTGCTTAGATCTCAACCTTTGCCCTTTTGTCCAAAAATGAATTACTATAAACTGCAAAGAAAGCATTTTTATTCTGCAGACATGGAAAGGAGAATTTAGCATCCCTTTGTAATAATCTTTGCAAAAATGTAGGAATGCATTTTTATGAACCAACCTCTAATATAAACACATTTACAAAAATGAAAAAATGGAAAGAGATTAAAGAACTAAACACACACACACACACTGAAACCCCACAAATATAAAAAATCAGCCCCCAAGTACAGGTTTAAAAACAACTCCTCTGAATTGTCCCCCATATCCTCACTATATCTCTTGCCAACCACCTTTTCCATTGTCTCCTGCAGTGCTTACAGCACTGAAATTGTGAAATCACCATTATTTCCATGGCAACAGCCTGCAATATCAAATCCACAGGATTATAGCTTGACTGTAGAAGAGGGTAAAGAAGCAGCTGGAGTGTGAGAAAGAAAATGCTTACATTCAAACATCTCAGTGAAGAGAGTGAGAAATGAGCTGACAAAGAGTTTATCGTACAAGCGAGACCTCAGACAAATCCATGTGTGCACCCACTGAAATTGTGGCTACAGGAGTCATGAAGTTGCAGGTCCAAAGAACATAAGTCATAACTGCATTGCAAGGCGAACCTAGTATCTGTGATCATCATGAGTGCGCAGCCAGTCAGAGAGCAAGAACTCATTTCATACCCTAAGATGACTTCCAGACAAAAGCCTTTTTGTCAGACACTTGTCTCCCACCAGTAAAAGCACACAGCAACTAGATGACTAAATGGTATCTTGTGCATCAGTAAAGTCACTGCACATAGGGAGAGTGTCAACAGCCACAACCGTTCCCAAGTAGGAGGAACAAATATTTTTTACACCAAAAGATTTTACATTTGTCTGGTTTTAGCATAGCCTACATTTGCAACAAGCGCCACAATCTGGTAGCAGCAAAGCCATTTCATTGAAATAATCTCTATAATGAACTATAACAAATGGGTCTTCGGATTTCTGGAAATGACATAGGTTAGCTCTACATGACTAGTTGATCAAGATAAGGTACAGGAGGTACAGGACACTGCAAAACCTGAGTTATCACCACAACACAAAGAAGGTATAGCTAGCCATTACATATATTTAGTGTGACTGTTGCCTGATTTTTGTTCTGAATCTCTTCCAGGAAGATTACCGACAAGGTTGTTTAACAAAGTAGTTGTGATCAAATTTAGGTGTTGCTACTTTTGAGATCTGTTGATTCTAATCTCTCTGTAATCAAGTCTCCCCAGGAATATGTTACATAGGGGAAAGGAGACACTTCCATTACTCAAGAGCTTGGCTACCACAGCGAGAGATTAAAGAGTGTCTAAAGCTGTTTGTACACACTATGTATCAGCAGGAGATCCCTTCAGAATAACATCTGTATAAACAGATGCCGCTCCATAAGCCAATATACTTCAGAAAAAAGCACATCTGCACAGTAGTGCAAAGGCATGTTCCATCTGATAGCCTTATTTACACAGACATCCTGCAGTACCTGAGCAAGGTTCACATCTCTGGGAACTAGGGCATAATCAGCATGCGACACACAACTCAATGCTGTTTATGGAAGTGTGTGATATATCCCAGTGGAAGACACGGATATATGCCAGAGACCATCAGGAAAAAGCAACAGTCAAACTTCTAACAGCCATGAGGCCACAAAGTTATTCATATCACTAAAAGCTCCCTAAGTGCACAATCGGGGAACCAGGACAGAGAATTCAACTGTGTTTTTCTTTGTCCTGTACCATAACTACAATTGAATAGGTAAATTCAGATTTTGGGGAATCAACTGAAGTAACTGCAGTCACAAAGAAATCCAAACCCAACCTCATTTGAACAGAAGACCATAGAGGTAGGTCTAATGGTACAAGGCACTAAAGACTTATACAAGTCAAATTTTCAATACATGAATGGAAAGCAAAACTATAAATAAATCCCATAACTGATAGGAGGAATCATAAGGGAAATGTCACTTTTGGACACAAATGGATGGTCAATGAATATTCTTGGACTTCCACTAAGGCACCAGTGAGGTTCAGCCTTCAGAGTCTGAAATATAACTGTCAGCTACAAGTAGAGATATGCTATATCATACTTACCCATTTGGTTAAAAAAGGTGCAAGTTGGCTTGAAAGGTTCATTAGAAACAAACCTTTCTGGATGACTGCTAAACAGCTGTCTAGTAGCTACAGTTGATTGGGAGCAGCATCCTTCCAATTCACACAACTGAGGAACAAGCAGACACTGGAATCTTTCCTGTTTGTAGATACATCCTTCACAACAAAAAAATCCTTGCACAGCAACATGATATATCATCCTCTACCATCCTTCTCACTGTACTGTGCGGCATTAGTCCACAGCAAGGTAAAACAAAGTGGAAACAGAAGAAGCAGTACTAAAGCAAGGAAAATAAGCTGACACATTGCTATGAGCTCTAGGTCAAATAACAATTGCCTATCACAGTTAAGGACTCTTCAAGAAAGTGACAACTTGACACAGCAAAGCATGTGGTGGCTAAGGGCTGTGAGAAGGATGTGTCTCTCCAAAACACCCCCATCCATTTTCTACTCCTTCACTTCCTAGTTTTCCTCCACCCTGATGAAACTACTCCTACAATGAGATAATTTAGCCAGTTCTCTAGCTGCAGGTATGCTGACTGGTGAAGCAAGTCCTCAAAGCTCCATGACAACAGGCTTTGCCTTCCTACGACGCCAGATACCTGGCAGGCACCCGATATTTAAAAAATTCAGAGGCAATATGTTATTACTAGAAGATAAAAATTCCATGTAAATGTGGGAGAGATATTTCACACTGTCACAGTACTATCTGGGACCTACAAAGTAAAATAACATAAAAAGCCTGGCTGGTTTGACTTTCTTTAGTATCTAAAAAAGCTGGAAATTCTAGAGAAACTTGGTTAACAGCCTCATTGCAGAAGACCTTTAGATATCTTCTTTAGATAGCAAGTATCCCCAGATCCCAGTGAAAGGCCTAAAAAGAGAGATGTTAGAATTACTGAGTGAGTGGACAGGTGACAGTGCATTCATTACCTGTCCTCCAGGGAGAAAATTTTTCTTATGATACTGTGGTAACATATGCTGCCAAATTTGTTCTACAAAACCTAAGTTGCCATATCCTCAGTGTCTCATTGACACCCATGGACAGTTTGTATACTGGGCATGATATTCTCTGCTATAGAATATACCTTTGGCCAGTCTGGCAGCTGCCCTGGCCATACCCCCCCAGCTCCTTGTGAAGTTCTTCACTGGCACAGGGTAAGACACCAAAATGTCCTTGACTTGAAGCAAGCACACTTAGCAACAACCAAATCAACAGTGTGTTGTCAATATCATTTTCATGCTGATTCTGAGAAACACAGCACTGACCCAGCTACTAAGACAAAAATTAACTCTATCCAGGCAAAACCAGGAAAAGTCACAAAGACAAATCCAACAAT